GTTGAAGGGCAGGTTGGATGGGGCTTGGAGCAGCCTGGGCTGGTGGGAGGTGTCCCTGCCCATGCAGGAGGGTTGAACTAGATGGTCTTTAAGGTCCCTTCCAAGACAAACTAGTCTGGGATTCTATGACATGACAATAACTAAGGGCTTTGAGACGTTTCAGTGATGAAGGTGACATAGCTACAGAGTTGTACTGTGGAAGGCTGAAAATACACAACTGAGTATAGAAGATGGATGTGCTCCTGACTGTAGTATTAGCTGCCTAAATCATAACAGGAGAGAAAATGGGGCTGGGATGTCTTGGTCTTAGCCTATCCCAAAGCATGAACAGAACAGTGTCCCTGAGCTGGCACCAGATGAATGAAAGGACCTGCCCAGTCGAGGAGGATCTGCCCTCTGCAATTGTCTTTGCTCTGCCGGGCTCCCACTTTCCCTCAACTCCCATTTGCAAAGCCAAATTACCTCCAGCTTTCCCTAAATTCTTTGAGCCCAAATCCACGGCTCCTCCACGAACCACAGCAGCTTGTCGGGTCACTCTGATGTCCAGACCAGGCATGTTCCTGGCCCTGCATCAACATGAACATCCTTTGTCTCTTGATGATTTTATGCATATTTCAGATGCTTATTATTCTTCTTAATCACTGCTGCAAAACAGGGAGGCCAAACAATGCAGCTCAGTGGGGCATGTGATGGCTTTTTCTACCTTGCAGGATCTCTGAGACCTCCTTGCTCCCACCACCACTGCTTTTTGCCTCTCTTTGCTCTGGCAGGGACATCCTGCCCACCAGCACAGGAAGCTCAGCTGCTGCTCAGACAAGCAGTGAGGGGCACTGGCACCCAGGAGGTGCAGCCCAGGCTGGGTGCTGCTCCATGGGGGAAGGTCTGGAGCAGATGGGTGCTGGGTTTCTCTAGGTCACATCTGTCTCCCTTCTCCACCAGTGCAAAAATCTCCTCCAACTGCAAAGCTGCTCCTGAAGCTGAATTATTTCTCGAGTCCAACTTGCAGGAATCCCTCTCAAGGGGATTTCCAACACACCTGATTTGGGGCCCTTTGCCTCCTTAGATCAGCACCCCTTCTGCAGCAGGATTACATTTCAACCAGCTCCACCAGTGACCCCAGAGCGAGCCAAGACCAGACCCAAAGAGCAAGCAGAAAGCTCCAAGGGATCCATCTCCATGGACTTGCACAGATAATTCACGGCATTTCCTGGGGTGTCCCTGTTCCCCAGCACGGAGCAGCACCCCTGGCTCTGGGCACGTGGCAAAGCTGCAGCCACCCAGGCTGGGAGAGCCCTGAAAGCTCAAGCAGCACCAGTGGAGCCTGGTAATGATCTCTTGTAATGCCAAGAGAGACCCACAATTCATTGTGACAGAAACACTGGCACCTCCTGCCAAAACCACCTGGGCAATGTCTCTCTTTGAGCTTTTAATTTCAATTAACTTCAGGGGATTTTATTCATTTGACTTTTTGCCTATGACACAAAAGCTGTGAGCTGGGTGTGCCAGGCTGCTGGTGCCATGGCTCTGCTGAGCACCCTGGTGCCATGGCTCTGCCATGGGTCTGCACCATGACCCTACAGGAATGGGAACAAGAACAAACCACCCCTGGGGGAGCCCTTCTCACCCCCCATTGCCCCAAAAGGAGCAGGAAGGAGCTGTCCTCATGCAGCAAGGCCCAGATTCACCTCTCCAAGGTTTGGTCACCTACAGCAGAGGTGACCCCAATGTTCAGCTTCTCTCCACTCAGCAGAGGAAGCTGGTGCTTGGAGTGAGATTGGTCTTTGCTATTTTCAGGCCTGCCAGGGGCTGGGAAAAAGCTGAAGTACTTGAAAAACACCAGCCCCATCCACTCCCTGTCTGGACTGGGTGCAGGTAAAATTCAACCAAGAGTGAAAGACTTTGCAGGCATCAAAGCCTGGATCCTGACCCTGACCTCGGCCTGGCTGCTCCAGAGGACACAGCCAGCAGCAGGCTCTGCAGACAGCAGGGAGGTGTTAGCACTGGATGTTTTCCAGAGGTCCTGAGCATCCAGGGCAGCAGAGACAAGGAACTCAGCTGTGACTAAAGACTCTCACAATAGGGAAACTTTATTAATGGCCTCACAACCAACTCAGAGGCATCAAACGTAAACAAAGATTCGCTGCTGGACACGGCTGAGCACCAGTTCTGGGCAGTTTATTTCAGTTATTTACCTAACAATGCTTCCTACTGACCTGACTGTTTTCCCTGGCATATTTAAGTTGAAGACACATTTTGGCAGGAACAAGAAGTTATTGTAATGATGCATCAACAAAACAGGCTGCAGTGAAGACACCAGATATCACCAGATACACTTTGAAATAGGGGGTGGAAAACAGAGACATCCAAGAATGGGGAATGTTACCTCCCACTGTGGTGTGTTACTTAGCATTTTCTGCAACTTCATACCCCTCAAGGTCTGGGCCTCTTGTAAGGAGAGAGAATGGGCAGGGGAGCTTGTTTAGGAGTTATTTCACTATAAGGAATCTGAAAGTAAATCTGCCTGCACTGCCTTTGGCAAGAAATCAGCTTCATTCAGAGAATTGCTGAACTGAATTAATGAACTCAGAATTCCACTTCTGAGCCCATTTCCAAAGGAAGTTAGGAGAAACCCCAAATGGTTGCAATGTTTTCTTCCTGTATACTTAAAAAAAACCCAGGCTGAAATCTTAACAAGGATTGGCATTTTCTGAGAAGCTGAAGGGAGTAAAGTCTTCCAAATCATATTAAGAGGGAGATAATCTTATGGTCTCTTTTTCAAAACCCCAGCAGAAGTGTGGAAGAGCTTGCCACTCAGATGATGGCTTTGCCCTTCAAAGGGTGAAATCCAGCCTTGAGCAGGGGGTACCAAGCACACAAGTAACAAAAGTGTTATCCCACCTGCTTCACTGGATAAATTTCACCCTACAGGCTTGAACCTGCTCTCAGTGGAATGGTTCCCACTAAGTTCAAAAGTGCAGGATCAAGCCTCAGGTGTGATGTGGCAGGGTCAGGTACTCTGGTGTGTCTCATTCCAATTCATTCATCACTGCAGAAATTTTGCAGCCAATTCATCCCATAAAAGGCAACAAAACTTTCCTGTGTATGGTTTCCCTCCTCCCGCGTAACGGGGACCGCTCGGCTCCATCCCTGCCTTTACTTCCTGACGCTTCTCCTGCTGGATGTGGTTGTGGTGATGCTGTAGGACTTGGTGCTGCCCCCGGAGGAGAAGCCGAGTGCCCCGCTGCCCATGCCTGCTCCCAGGCTGAGGCCTCCTCCCATTCCTCCTCCCAGAAATCCACTGGAACTGCCGTAGCTGCCTCCCCCGCTGGAGCTGATCACGGCTGTGGCAGAGAGAAGCAAATCAAACGTAAGCACCAGGGCATTGGGAACCCAAGACGAGCATTTCAAAATGGGAGCAACCAGATGAAAACTCTCTATGGTCTCCTGCAGAACACAGGGCCCAGGACACTGATCTCTTGTTCCATATTGGCCCACAGCATTTACCCTCCCTGCTAAGCCTGATGCATGGGAGGGCTGAGCAGCCTGTCTTCTTCTCCCTCACTCAGCCTGGCTCAGGACCCTCTGCAGCCCAGAGAACCCCAGACCATGAACACATTCAGCTCATCTGGTCCACCAAGGACAAGTGATTCACCAGCTATCAATGGCAATTAAGGGGATGAAAAGCAGAGCCACTGGTGTGGAGCTGTAGACAGCACCTCTGAGACACCAGCATCTGCCCCATGTCCAGGCCAGGTGAGCACACAATGCTTCCCAGGCTGGAAGGACACCCTCTAACCTCCCCTGGCACTGACTTCCAACCCAGGCAATGTCTTTTCTCATGAGCACATTTTTCTCCATACAAAAATAGGATGAAAGAAAGATCAATATTCTTCCAAGCTAAATTTCATACCAGCACCAACAACTTCTTCCTGAGGGCTCCCACCTAAGCCTGGGCACTAACTGGGATGCAGGAACTCAGGCAGGCAGCAGGAGGCTTCTGCACATAAACCCAGCTGGTCCCCACCTGCATTTTCTATACAATTATGGTGATGTGTAACTATTATAAATTCCAAAATCAACTCACAGATGTTGACGTTGCCAACTCCATCACCAGCCAACCTGGAGAAGAGAAACACAAAAGGCAAAAAGGAAGAGGACAGGTTAGATTCTGCATTACTCAGTGTCCCCCCAGGGCCTGAACGCTGGGGATGGAGACAATGGCAGTGAGTTATTCATGGCAGTGAGTTATTGCTGCTGTTGTAAATAATTCAGCCAAGATCAGTGTGCCATCCAGTGCTTTGTTCTGGCCCTACATTTACAAGCTGTGTTATCACCTGGGGGTGGCTGACAGAGCACAGAAGTTCTGTCTTAGTTCCACGGGGATTTAAGCCACTTGGAAATTTTCTGCCACAGCATCCAAGCACATGATGGAAAACAACTTTTTTTCTTCTTTGTATCTTTTCACCAAAAGCATCAAGTTTTCCCCAGAACTTGCCACTTTGGCTCTTCAGCCAAAGCATTTTCAGGACTAAAAATCAGTTTAAAATGCAAGATTTCCTATTCTGCAGAAACTGGAATTGGGTCCTCACGATGTCCCTGAGCAAAAGGAACAAAGGGCTGGACCCTTCCTGGGGTAAAACCCAGAGGCTGCTCCCACCTGCTCTCCTCTCCCTCCAGCAGCTTCCTGTAGGTGGCAATCTCGATGTCCAGGGCCAGCTTGACGTTCATCAGCTCCTGGTACTCCCGGAGCTGCCGGGCCATGTCCTGCTTTGCCTTCTGCAGAGCTGCCTCCAGCTCCTCCAGCTTTGCCTTGGCATCCTTGACAGCCAACTCGCCACGTTCCTCGGCCTCAGCAATTGCTGCTTCCATCTTGGCACGCTGCAGGGACAGAGCAGGGTATGGGCATGGGCACCCCACCTCCTTGCTGAAGGACACCACTGCTGATGGACTTCTGACATCTACTGGCCAGACCATCTCTGTGTCCCTGTAGAGCCCTGGAGCCATCTGCTCAACTCTGATCTCTAGAAGTTCATGCCTGCACATTTTGGGGGGGACTGGACAAAGACCAGCATGCAAAGGAAGCTCTTCTCATACCATTATTCTAAAAGGCAGACTCTGTTTCTCTCCACTGGCTACATTTTCAGAACACCTTCTTCAGGTGATCCTCAGCTTCTCAGCCCACCCACAACAGCACAACCCTTGGGGTTACCACATGCTCAGGTTTTCTCTCCCTATTATGCCTCAGTTCAGAGCCAGTTGGTCTCCAGCAAGCTTTGATGTGAGGCAAGTGTGGACTCGAGCAGACCTGCTGTTACCAAACAGTGCAGATCTACCCCAAAAGTATCCCTGTGGGGCCACATCAAGCTGGCAGTCTGATGCACCCCCAGCTGTGCCCCCTGCCCCTCCAAAAAAGCCCCATGTTTGGCAGGAAGGGCTCACAGTGAACACATGTACTTTATACTCTCATTCATTGTTCAAGGGAGCTGCACTGGGTCAGCTCATTGCTTCTAAGTGTGTGTTGAAGTCTCCCTGCCCTGAAACCAAATAAACATAAATGGATGAATCACAATGGCTTATCTCCAGCTTTGTGCACCCTGGTTATTCACAGCCAGTTTTCAGCCCTGAACATGGTCTGAATCACTCACTGGTCTGGCTTTCACCAGTTTGATAAAGTGATAGCAGCTCCTGGGGAATTCAAACAGAGCTCCCATACAGCTAAAGAATTCTTTTCTATGCCCAAACATGGTGTTCCCTTCTGGAAGAAGGGAGTGGACAAATATCCCAAAGCAAGAGGGCACAAGGAACGTGTGTGAGTGGGAAGGAGGCCACATGCAGCCTTGTCCCTTGGAAACAGCTCTGCATTCACTCCCCTCCTGTCCTCCCAGGTCACTGGCCAACTTGCTCTCAGCCAGAGCTCAGCTGCCCCTCAGCAGGAGGGCTTCTCCCTCCAGAACTGACCGCTTGAGGTGAGCACTGCAGCCACCCCCAAACTGCTCCTGCAGGTGTTGTGTCCCACCCAGTGCTCCCTGGCACTCTTGTCGCTGCTCAACCCGCTGCTCTGCAGCAGGAGAACAAGGGCAGCTCCTCACCTGGGCCTTTGCACTCTCGATCTCCCCCTGCAGCCTCTGGATCATGCGGTTGATCTCCGAGATCTCGTTCTTGGTGTTGCGCAGGTCGTCGCCGTGTTTCCCAGCAGTGACCTGCAGGGCCTCGTACTGGGGCAGAAACACAGCAAGGAAGATGCATCTGAGCTGGCAGTCCATTAGCTGGCTAAAATCTCTCCCACTTGTGACACATGTACTACCAGAAGCTGCAGCTGCCTCCACCTCTCCCCTCACTCACCTTGCTCTGGTACCAGGACTCGGCCTCTGCCCGGCTCCTGTTGGCGATCTCCTCGTACTGGGCTTTGACCTCTGCAATGATGCTGTCCAGGTCCAGGTTTCGACTGTTGTCCATAGACAGGACCACAGATGTGTCAGAGATCTGGGCCTGCAGCTCCTGAAGTTCCTGCCAGTTGCATTAAAAACAATGCCATTAATCACTGACTTCTAAGGGGCACTCTTTTGGAAGTCAATTAGAGAAAGAATCCAAGAAGAAATGGGAAAGAGAGGCAGATAAGAAGAATTCCATCTAAACAATCATTAATTAAAAGGAGAACAGCTGAATCACATCAACCTTGCAAAGGACAAAGTAACTAACAGCAGCAGAAATGGAGCTGCTACTTATCACCTGCATTTTGACATGAAATGCTAGTCCAAGAAGCTTGAGCATCAGCTCCACAACAAAGCAAGGGCCAAATTCCACCACCTCACCCAGGGATGCAACAGTGCCCAGTTCATTCAGCCTCTTATCTTGCAAATAATGACTAAGATAAAGAAGTCCTGGACAAGAGGACTCCTTTATAACTCCCGTTATTCCTCTCACACACAAACACACCCCAGTGCTACAGCTCTGGCTATAACACAGTGGATTTTCTTGTTTTCATACTAACTGCATCCAAAAAACAATGCATGTCCTGCCTATATTTGCAATAAATTCATCTCAGGTCCCAGACAGGGAGAAATCACTGTGACAATTCACAGGAGGTGCACTTCACTTGCAGGCTCATTTTTGTTTATGGAAGATAAGACTCCATGTCTCCATCACCCTTCTCATCTCTGGAAACAGCACATTTTCTGCCACCATGGCCTATCCTTCACCCGCTGGTGATGCTCCACTGCAGCAGCCACAAGCAGCAGAAAGGACCTTACCGCTTCATAGAGAGACCTCAGGAAGTTGATCTCATCTGTTAGAGCATCCACCTTGGCCTCCAGCTCCACTTTGTTCATGTAGGCAGCATCCACATCCTAAAAAAAGCGATAACCCACTGAGATTGCCATAGCTGAGTCCACCCAGTCTTTGATGGGCTTCAGAAGCAGAGCCCATCAAGTTCCCCAAGCCACCTGCCTTTCACATCCCTCTGCCCAATGACCTGCCATGCCCTAAACATTCTCTGCTGAACACGTATGAGCAGTCCCAGCCAACTCCCTCCTCTCACCTTCTTGAGCACCACAAACTCGTTTTCTGCCGTCGTGCGCTTGTTGATTTCATCTTCGTACCTGCCAGAAAAGAAGGGATTGGTGTCGAGTTAGAACCTGAGCAAAAGGAAAAGACTGTCACCTTGGAGAGTTACCCCAACTCCCTTCTCCCTCCCCCCATTTCTCTTTGTCAGCCACGTCAGCAGAGCCCATGGCCGCCCCAGACAAGGCTGCCCCAGGCAGGGGTCACTGCTCCACCGCAGCACCTGTATCCCTGCACCAGAGGCACCAGCTGCACGTCGCAGCTCCACGCACTGTCTGGATAAGCCGATGCCTCAAAACTATTCTGCTCCACACCACCATGACCACCTGGAAAGCACTTCTCACCCTTGCTTTCCCACATTCCTTAAAATTCACTGCACTTTTCCTCTCTGCTGAGCAAAGCCCCTGTCAGTGCTGCTTTCACTGCACACTTCCCTTCTGCAGACACCTGAGATCACTGTGCAGGTGTCCACCACGTGCCACGTCCTGGTAAGAGTGCACGACTCACTCCACACAGCCTCCCTGTGCTTCAAAGTCACACAAATTCACTGGCTACATCCCTTCCTTAGGTGTTCTCCTTTAGATGTAATGAGCTAGATCCACAGCAGATAAGAATCATGCTCCATTGACTTCTCAGGAGGTTCACTGATTTGCACCACTTGCCAGCCTGGCTCTCCCAGCCTGCCTCACACCAGTTTACCTACAGCCAACCTGCTGAAACAAATAGAAAGAATCTGCTACAGGAGTCCTGAAAATCACCCAAGGAGCAGGAACCAATTTCTCCAGCTGTTTTGGAATTGTTGTTGCCAAAGTTACTGCTCTGTTTATTTACACAGTCCTTGCATAGCTAACACTGTAATTTGCCTTCCAAAGTGTGAGCTACTTGACTTTCAACAATGTTCTGCTCCCCACTGGAAACTTGCCTGTCACACTGGCATAAATGAACCTTGTCCCTTTCAAGGTCAATGAACTGCATCCCTTGCAACTGCAGAGCAATGTATGACCTGGAAAGGACGTGCTGGTGTGCACACCCAGCCCCAGGGTAACCAAAGACAGGTAAATGAATTAATCTAGAATGGTTTGATACATTCCTCATGTCCTGGGGGAAGCTCCACCAAGCTGGTCAGGAACTGCCAAAACTTTCAATACTCTGCTTTAACTCCCTGGAAAGCCCAGTGCATCCCACCCCTGGGGTCCCCTGCCCCATCCAGGGGACATGGTCATGGCTGCTCCTGCCCACAGGCTGCACCACACCCTGGGCCAGGGCAGTGACCCTGTAAGGACTGAACCTCATTCCTGGGAGCCTCATGCGTATCAATCCCCTCCCCTGGATTTACATGGAGAATGACTGTAAACTGAACATGCAAAAGAGAAGCAACAGCCACCTAAGGAGCTAGTCATATGTTAAGTATTCTACTTAGACAACGAAATTTTTCTCATATAAATGGGGAGCAGCAGGTTCTGAGCAGCAGTTACTACATCCTCACTCTCTCTGCTGCACTAGCATTCCCTCTTCCCTTCTCTTAGCACACACAGAGTTTGGTTTTCCTTGGACCTGTAAGCTGCAGGAACAAACATGCACCAGTGCACCTTGCACTCATGTGACATGCAGCTCAAACCAGGCCTAGAACTGCTCTGGCTGCAACCCAGCTCCTTGCTGCTGCCCTGCAGAGATGCAATGTGCAGCTGTGGACGGGCAGAGAGCAGAAATAACTGAGCAGAGTGGGGGGAACATCATTCCCATGTGCCTCCTTGAGAATTACTGGTTATTGACTTTCCCTAAACACCCTGGAGATTATCAGATATTTGTTTTCAGTTCCTGCCTGATCCAGTTTGCCAGCTCCCTCTTTTCTTTCTCTCTTTTTTTTTTCCCTCATTAAAGGCATTCCCCTGTATAGCTGGGTTGGGCACAGGGACAAAGGCTACTTTCTTCATGGGACTCCTCCCAGGCAACACTGCTTGGACTGAAAAGCTGCATAAAAATTGCAGGTCACCTGCTCCGTTCCCTACCCTCACCTGCCAACCTGCTGAGCTGCCATGGGCTCCCTGCAGCCCCCAGGGGCTCATCCAACCTCAAGTGCAAACCCATCTCTGAGAGGCCCAAAGCAAGGCCAAGAGGTTGGAGCCACTGAAGAACATGTGGAAACAAGGTTCCAGGAGTGATGGGGCAAGAAGAATCCAGGCAGCTTCCCTGGACTAGACACCTCAGCCATGGCTGGAAAAAAATCTCCCTGACAGAAAAGCTGGGGACAACTCTGCCAAGCTATTGACCAACCTGCCAGCTCAACTACACCGTTAGATGGGAAGATTATACGTTACTTGGCTTTGAAATCCTCAACAAGATCCTGCATGTTCTTCAGTTCACCCTCCAGACGGCCTTTGTCATTCAACAACCCATCCAGCTGACGCCGCAGGTTGTTGATGTAGGCCTCAAACATGGGAGCAATGTTACTCCGGGCAGTCTTCTGGTCCTGGAGGAGGCTCCATTTGGTTTCCAGCATTTTGTTTTGCTGCTCCAGGAAACGGACCTGAAAAGCAACCAAGGGATCATTTGTGAAAGCAGGAGGAAGGGGGAGCTGACACTGCAGTTTGGATCCCAGGGGAAGGACAGGCTGCAGATGGTATCTGAAGAATTCTGATTGCTCAGAGGAAGCACCTAAACTCTGGAGGGTGATAAAGACCATGAGGGAGGGCTTGGCTTATGACTTTTAGGCTTTGTATGCATTAAAGATAAGCAGATCCTGCCTGCCACAGACCTCAAAGTCAGCCAATTACTCCAACTCCAGGCCTGGATTCCTTGCATTTTGAGGATGCCAGAGCTGAAGATTACACAGGATCAGTTAGTGCAAGACAATAAAGCTGCAGAGGTACAGGGCAGTGCAAACAAACACAGCCAGCTCTGACTTATGTCAAGATCTGTTCTACTGGGATGATTCCTCTGCCCAAGAGGCTCACTCCCTCCTTCATGAATTTGGTGGTGGTGTGCTTGGGTGCAGATTTGATCTTTAAAGCATGCACCCACATTATCAGCAATACCAGCTAAATAAAAGGGTTACAAGGCTGGCCGGAGCAGGGCAAACCCCTTTGCTTGTGGCAGTGCAAGCAGGTCTTATTAATGAGTTATTGAATTGCAGCAGGCAAATCACACCATGCTCTTGAGGACCTGATCCTGAGCCCACCTGTGAATCCCCCACTGGGTTAAGTGAGCTTTGGGTCAGAGCTGCTGTTCAGCAGCACCCACAGAGCCCCCAGCCTTCCCAACACCTCACCTTGTCGATGAAGGAGGCAAACTTGTTGTTGAGTGTCTTGATCTGCTCCTTCTCCTCCTTGCGCACCCGCTGGATATTGGGGTCAATCTCCAGATTCAGGGGTGTCAGGAGGCTCTGGTTGATGGTGACCTCCTGAATGCCGCCAGGGCTGAGGGGTCCCCCGAATCCCATGGAGGCTCCATATCCAGAGCGGACGCTGTAGGAGCTGCTGCCGCCCAGGGAGATCCGCTTGTTGGAGGAGCCAAGGTTGTAGAGGCTGGAGCTGCCAAAGCCACCTGCTCTGCTGGCACCCCCTCCACGGGTCGAGGAGACAGAGCTGACCCGCACTTGGCTGATCGCTGGCACGGCCACAGAGCGAGAGCTGAAACTCACAGACCGGGACATGGCTGCTCCGAGGGCGTCTGCAGGATCCCCCACCCTTCACAGGCTCAGGGAAGCTGTGCTGGAGACCAGGGAAGTGAGGAGGTTCTCCTGACTGCTTCTCCTTTTATCCGTTAGAAAAGCTGGGCTTGGCCCAAGGGCAAAAGAGGGATCATTTTACTGCCTCGGAGAGCTGGGTGTGCCTGGCTCCCTTCCCACCCTCCCGTCAACCTGCAGAATTCGAGAAGGGAAGGGCCAGGGAAGGGACAGGACACACCTGGCGCCGTGTCCTGCGCTCAGACCTGCCTTTGTTCTGCCCCCCCTTGGCCTCTGCCACATGTGCAGCCAAGGGACAAGAAGCACAGGCTCTCCTGGGCTCCCCTGGGTCCCATCCCCATTTCCTCAGCGCTTCTCCGTTCCTCCCTGCTCAAGGCGACACTGACATGAGAAGAGGGGGGAAGAGGCAGCGATTTCTACCTCTCTGCAGAGCAGGCAGCCCCCCCTGGGGCAGGGCAGGCAGGGCACCATGGATCCACCCAGGAGACATCTCCCCAGTGGAATTTCTGCCCTGCCAGCCCTCTCCCATCCACACCATCAGGCTGCTTTGCAGTATGATTATATATAATTTAGAGCCAAACCCTGCTCAGCCGTGGGCACAAACCCTGCTCAGCTGTGGGCACAAACCCTGCTCAGCCGTGGGCACAAACCCTGCTCTGCTGTGGGCACAAACCCTGCTCAGCCGTGGGCACAAACCCTGCTCTGCCAGCAGCTTCAGCCAGGCTCACCATGCAGGGCTGTGAGGGCTGCAAATCTCCCCATGCACCAGGAGCTTGGGCTGCTTTTTCCTGCTGGTGCTAAAATAAAGATGGTTCTGGTGGGCTGCACCCTACACGGGGCAATATCCACGTGCCTGTCCACGTTCAGAAGGAGACAGAACAGGCCTCTGCTTACATTTCTGGGTTTCTATGCAGAAGAGGCAGAGACAAAAATCATTTTTATGACCTTTCTCTATTTTCAAATAGCCTTGAAGGGATGGATCTCTTTATTATCAGGTCATCAGTCCTCTGGAAACCATGAGGTTTCAATATCTGGCCTGAATATGTCACCCTTCAGCTCTCCCCGTCATCAGCACAGCGAGGTAGCACTGGCTGCACAGGCTGGGCACAGCCTGTGAAAAATATGTACTTCCTTCTCTGCACTAACAATACAAGTTGGCTGGAGACCCCAGCTACTAAGAGGAAATTCTCTTCTTGAAGGAGGGAAAGGGAGAGATCAAACCAGACAGAGATATATGAGGCAAGATTCCTCCCTGCACTGTGAGCTGGCTCAGCTTCCACCAGCAAAAAAGAAAACCCCTTGAGTGTAAAGCACATTTGTCTTCTGCACACCCAGCTACCCTGGAGCTGATGATGTAGACAGGCCAGGGTTCATCTCACCCATACACAGCCAGCAACGAGGCAGAATTCTCCAGCTGTTTCACATAGCTCCAGGTTCACAGGGGGAGATGGGCTGCTGTCTTGCAACGCCTCTGGGTTCTGTAGAGGAGAGAGAGATTGAATCTGAAAGTGTGATTAAGAGTCCCACAGTCAGGCAGGAGTAACTCCCACCATAGGAAGGCCCCTGGCTGCTGGGTTTTATCAGGTTGCATTCCAGCCTCATCTCCTTCTATCACCAGACAGGGATTTTTTGCACAACATGACATCCAAACTAGAAAGCAATCCAGCCAGATAAAATGCAAGCCAGATAAACTGTTATAAAGGCAAAGCTGTTCTCAGCACTTTGGCTGTAACAGAACTGAACTTCATCCTGGTTTGCACTATCAAGGGCCAGATCAAAAGCCATTTTTTAATCACAATTACTACCATGCAGCACCACTGATTTTAGGTAAGGATGAGTCTGTCTTCTAGTCAAAGTTCAAGCTTTCTTTTCTGTATCATTAGCAACCCAGCCAATGCAGGAGAGCCTCAGGAAAGCCTCATTTCCTCTGCTGCAGCAGCAGCTTGCTCCCCAGCTCCCAGTGCTGCCTCTGGCCAGCTCAGATCCCTGAGCCCATCACAGTCCGTCCTGCAAGGGAACGGTCCCCATTAAATCCTGGTTCAAGTCAGTTTAAGCCAGAGCAGGATCCGGGGATCCACAGACATCATAAGCAGAGTTTGCTTGTGTTGTTGGGATGCCATGGGAACACCACATAGTTTCACAACCACACAGGCTTGTAAATACTTCCAAGCCCCAGAGATTCGGGTCTGGCCACACAGAAGACACTGTAGTGACTGGTTAAACAGCCTCTGAAGGAAGTGAATACTTTGACTGCTGTGCTTGGTGTCACAGCCAGCCCAGCCCCTGCACACCAGAACAGCCTGTTGCTGTGCACTGACACTCACAAGGGCTATGAAGATGATGAAGGGACTGGAGAATGTCTCTTCTGAGGATAGATTGAGAGATCTGGGCCTTTTTAGCTTGACAGGGGAACTTCCCAATGCTTATAAATTAAAGGGCAGATGTTAAGGGAATGGGGAGGGGAATGCCCAGGGAGACAGAGCAAGGGCAATGGCCACAAATTGGAACACAGGAGGTTCCATCTGAACATCATCTTTATCTAGAGGGTGACAGTGCACTGAGACTGCTCAGGGGGGGTGAATATCTCCTTCCCTGGAGATACTCAAAACCTTCCTGTGCAACCTGCTCTGGGTGAGCCTGCTTTAGCAGGGGGCTGGACTAGATGATCTCTAGAGGTCCCTTCCAACCCCCAACATTCTGTGATGCTGTGAATGAGTCACAGGTAATAAGTCCCTCCATAAACATCTTGGCAAACATAGCAGGCCCTCAGATCCAGCACAGAAAGTGAAGAGAAAAAAAAGTCAAACCAGATTGTCCTGATGGAAGAGGAATATATCTTGGGGAGCAAAATTGTGTATTAAGAAGATATTATGACGCTGATCAATGTCAGGCTGTGTTTTCCACATCTTCTGCTGATACCCCACAGGCTATCTTCTGCTGTGTATTTAGATTGCAATGTTTGGATTGAAAGCTCTCTGGAGCTGGGAGTGCCCTTAGGTTTTGTGTTTGCCCAGTGCAGTCCTAGTTTGTGATTACTGCTCCCAAGTGCTTCAGCAGTGAGTCATAAATGAATGAGTGTCCTAACAACCAGCAGTGTCTTGGTGGTCTCATGGCTGGGGATCACAAGAGCACGATGGGGCCCTCCTGGGCTGTCAGAATGACACTGTCAAGCTGTTATCCTTGATAACAGCACCCCAAAGCAATGCCAGCACAGCAGCACTTGCACCAGGGCCTGCAGCCATAGAAATGCTGTGCAGAAGGGTCCCCCCAGGCTGTGACCACAGCTCCCCCTTTCCAGATCCAAGTAGCCTCATTCTTAAAAATGTACATCTCATCAGCAATTCCTGGGAATACAGAGAGATTTCTCCAAATGCAGGCACTGCATGACAAGAGCCTCATCCAGGCAGGTGCCACCCTTAGAATGAGGTCCAAGGTCCTTAGGATGTCCTGAGGTTTTATGGATTTGCTTAGCCCTGCTTCCTGTCTCGCTCAGGCTGTAAAGCTCAATACAATGATGTGGCTCTTCAGTCTGGCATCTCAACGACAGGAAAGTGGCTTTTCCAGGAAGGCGACGGCTGGCTGGCCTGCAGGGTTAGCCTGTTCCAAAGGTCAGTGCCTCAGTGCAGTTCATTGCCTTGCAGCAGGAGCTCTCCTGCTATAAGTTGGGGCCTTACACCTAGTTTAAAGTTGTTAAATTGGTGTCTTTAAGTTTTCTGCCACTGCCCACTTCCAAAGCATTTAAATTGCTCTCCTGCACTTGGTATGATTCCCTGCCCTTAAGTCCCCACCCTTAGTCTTACATTGGGTAAACTGAATAGGCTGAAATCCTCACATCTTTTGCAAACAAGAGGCATTTCTGAAGACTTGAAATACCTTTTGTGGCCTGTCTCTGCTCCAGACCCTTGGCACATGCATCAGTATTGTTTGTGCTGCAACTTCATGCAGTTTTACATGTGGAAACTACATTTTCCTCCCCATTCTTAAAGCCCCACAGCTGTAACAGCCTCAGGCCTCAGTCCCTGCCAGAGGCTGCTCTGATGGGTCTCGCCTAACCCACCGTGTCTTCCAACTCTCTTTTCTGCAACAAAGCAGAGCAGCATTTGTATTCAGGGG